AATTATGAGGATAGACAAAGACCAGACTTACGCCGCTGGGGAAAGACCATGATTTACCAAGTATTCGTGAGAAAGATTACAGATTGCTTCACATGGGATGGACCAGAACAAGTGACAAATAACAGATCACTTTAAATAAATAAATAAATAAATAAATAAATGTTTATTTAGGTAAGGTACATACATAAAGAGATTTTACAATGTTTGTTGGGTTAATAGATAGAGCTAGTACATACAATGCCTAAAGCCACTATTACGCAAAGCGTTTCGGGCAGGAAAAACATTAATGACTAAAGCTTAAAACTAATGGGTAAAAAGAATAAAATGTGTTGAGAACAAATAAAAATAGAGGTAAAAGAGGGGGAAACATGGTTGAAAAAGCAGCACAAATACAATTACAAATTATTACAGAAAATTACATTCAAACAGCGTTGTTTTGAAAAATAAACAAAAAACATACATGGGTTGACAACAGAGGGGTAAGGTAGGTTACAGGGAATTTATTAGGTAGTGCTTCGTTTTTATCTTAAACTGGTTGAGAGAGGTACTGTCTTTAACATGGTTGGGAAGGTCATTCCACATTCTGGGTCCCTTGATTTGAAGAGCATTTCTAGTATGATTAAGTCGTATTCTAGGAATATCAAAACTGTATTTATTTCTGGTGTGGTGCTCATGGGTTCTGTTACGTGGGATGGACCAGAATAAATGATTTAAATTACAGATAGCTTCACATGGGATGGACCAGAACAAGTCACATGGCAATGACGAACACCGAAAACAAGAGACTAAATCAGTCGGTTTTGAGAGTAAGCCTTATCTGACAGTCCAGGATTTCCTGGTGACACACTGACCAGCGCGGCTACTGGTGTCCACACAGACGTTGAGGGAACTCTTAGGGAACCTAAGTACCTTGCCATTATTTTCGTTTCCATTCAGTAACTCACTTCGGCAACCATTGTTCCTTTCACAATTTGTTCAAATGTAGGTTACTATATGAGCGCGTGCGGGATACTGCGCTCGTACGACTTTGTTAGGCATCTACACAATCATATCTAGTGGCCTTGACGTGGGGGGGGGGGGGGGGAAATCGGTGGGAATGGCAGGAAGCTCACAGCTGTGAAGGATCAGTCCAGGTTCGTCACCAAACATTTACACTATTTTCAAGTTGAGCACTTTTGAGTAAGTATTGTGTATGTCGCCTGTGAATGAGAGCGCGACCGTGTATGGATGGACGGCTTACAAGCGGGTCTCTGTATGACTAACCATCCTGTGTGATAGGGATTTTTTAGCATTACGTAGCTAGCTTTTTGACACACTGTACTACTCCATATAGTCTAGGGTAGCTGCACAAATGCAGGTGTACCTAATGTATTAATAAAAAAAAATTGCAAGCGGGCTAGTGTATGGATGACAGTGGACCGGAGTTTAGCCTCACATTCAAAAATTTGTGTAAAGTACAACAAAAGTCCACTTTTTTTACATACATTTAAAGTTGTGTTGAGTTAATCTTCACCAATACCACTAATGTAAAGCACGAAAGACGTTCTAATATGCCTACGGCTCGGCCAGCCAGAGGCTTAGGGCCCGCGCAGGAATATCCCTACAAAAAAAAAACTTCCTTGCGGTTAGTTCCGGGGCTCGGGGTCCCCGCGGTCCGGTCTCTGACCTAGCCTGGTTTTCATCTACTATACGAAACCTTGTACCTCTGTTTGCCCGTAAAATTGATTATTTATATAGTTGTCATTGCAATGGTAACAAGGTAAGGTGAAAGGTAAGATCAGGATGAAAGGTAAGATCAGGATGAAAGGTAAGATCAGGATGAAAGGTAAGAATAGGACGAAAGGTAAGAATAGGATGAAAGGTAAGATCAGGATGAAAGGTAAGATCAGGATGAAAGGTAAGATCAGGATGAAAGGTAAGATCAGGATGAAAGGCAAGATCAGGATGAAAGGCAAGATCAGGATGAAAGGCAAGATCAGGATGAAAGGCAAGATCAGGATGAAAGGCAAGATCAGGATGAAAGGCAAGATCAGGATGAAAGGCAAGATCAGGATGAAAGGCAAGATCAGGATGAAAGGCAAGATCAGGATGAAAGGCAAGATCAGGATGAAAGGCAAGATCAGGATGAAAGGCAAGATCAGGATGAAAGGTAAGATCAGGATGAAAGGTAAGATCAGGATGAAAGGTAAGATCAGGATGAAAGGTAAGATCAGGATGAAAGGTAAGATCAGGATGAAAGGTAAGATCAGGATGAAAGGTAAGATCAGGATGAAAGGTAAGAATAGGATGAAAGAATATGATGAAAGATAAGAATTGGTTAAGGATAAGAATAAGAGGAAGGCAAGAGAAAAAAATAAGAGTGGTATGCTCAAGTCAGGTCACGTTTGTTAAGAAGGGTTGGAGCATTTAATATGTATGTGCTGTGAAGGGGAAGAGTCAACAACAACAAAGCCAGGACTGAGGTTCATGTTGGGTAGGTTGTGTATCAAGAGCAGATTCGACAAGACGACATTTGTGAAGAATAGAGGCAAAAAAGAATAATTTAGAAGAGGACCAATTAATAGGAGGATTAGAGTCCCTAACGTGACAGAAGACAGCACTGTGTGTCTGGAGACTTAATACTTCTTGTGTGTTCCTTAAGTGTTCAAGTATGTTTATTGAGATAAAGAAATACATCAAAGTTCCTTTAGTGTCAGTGTACGTCCAGTTTCACCAAAGAATTGGAGACCAGATGAACAGGAAATGGAGTAGACACCAGCAGCATTGGAAACAGGAGGAACAGAGTGAATCAGATTACAACAAAGTGTTTGTTTGTCGAATATATAGATTATATAACATGTGACTAACCATGTTAATTAAGCAAAACCAAACAAAACTGAACAGGCATGTGATGTGTATATTATATTTGTGTTTTTAACCCTTTGTGCAGGAGTATATTTACTGAGACTCAAAAAAATTTAAGAAACACATTTCAGTCATTTGTTTGTATTATCTGAAATTTCACTCCGTTACATCCTTTCAGATAATTTCTTAATAAAAAATAATAAACTTGAAAAACAAAAACTACAAAATGAAAATTAATAAAAAATTGCTTAATCAAAATTCAGAACCTATTGTTCAGTAAGTTGCATGAAAATTATATTAAGATAAAACTAACGGATTTAGAAGTTAATGGTTCTTAATCCTTAAACGTATTGTAATGAGCTTAACTCCCCAGCAATCTGATTAATTAGTTTTTTGTTGTTTTCATTGCACATCAGACATTAGTCGGCAATTCCAGTACTGCCACTAATTTAAGCAGTCTCGGGAAAGGAATGGATGAGGATGTCCCCTCCCTGCCACTCACGGAAGGGGAACGGTGGTATCCCCCCTCCCTACCACTCACGGAAGGGGAACGGTGGTATCCCCCCTCCCTACCACTCACGGAAGGGGAACGGTGGTATCCCCCCTCCCTGCCACTCACGGAAGGAGAACGGTGGTATCCCCCCTCCCTACCACTCACGGAAGGGGAATGGTGGTCTCCCCCCCCTCCCTGCCACGCACGGAAGGGGATCCGTTGGGTCTCCCCCCTCCCTGCCACGCACGGAGGGGAACGGGATGCACAATAAATTAAACTCTTTTACACCATGTGCGTGATATTGATCATACTTTATTTTAGAGACTCGTTAAAACGCAACAATTTCACCTCACGTGAAACAATTTAATAAAACCCCAAGATACACCAATTATCACGTCAAATAAAATGAAAATAAAACCCTAAGATATTCCTACCGAGCTTGGTAATTAAGCCCCCGTCAACAATGGGTGTTAAAGAGTAGGGCCACCACACTGAGGGTGTCAGGTTGGGAGGGAGGGCAGAGCGGCTTGTGTAACCTGCCATCTGTTGGGCCAAGCCACCACCATCTTCCTGGTTCACGGTCGATGCGGGGCCTCACGCACCGCCTCTTCCTCTTGACGGCTTGAAAATTACCTACAAACAATTCATGGAGTACGATCACGTTTTACACCATTCAGTCGAGCAACAGCCACCGGGGGAAGGGCTAGTGCGGTTTAGGGCGCGCATGTGCACACTGGTTTTCCTATCAATCATTAAACATTCATGGAAAGCGCTCCAGTGCTCATGATTTTCAAAGCGAATTCCGATGGAGCATTACAAAGCTACGTGGTACTGAGGGAATGTGTGGAGTGCTGTTGTGGTATGTATGACCAGCAGGACCTTCTCCACCCCTCTAGGAAAATAGACGCAGGGGGGGGGGGAAGTGACGACCCTTCCATTTTAAGACTAAGTAAGCCTATTTCCACCAAGTCTTACAAAAAGTCACCATAGGAATGTAGCTACATTCACTATCATACTTTACCACAGCTGCACAACTTTATCGACGACGGCTTAAATAGCTAGGCCTATTATGTCCGAACAACCACAGTGCCCTGCACCAAATTCGAAGACAAATATTGGCATAAAATACACCAATAATATCAAGAGAGGGTGGAGTGGGCGGCGTCCTGCTCCCCACCACACAGGTCAATGTCAAGTACTTCTTTATTGCCTCAATGAAGAGCGGTCTGTGCCAGGCCCGGCTCCACGCTATGGCGCACGCACGCACACACAAATACACACATACATACACACAAATACACACACACACAACCATAGTAAACTAATGGCCGATATTCTAGGCTGAACAGACCAACCCATTGACCAGCGGTGGCGACAGCAGGACAGGCAGGTAGTCATGGACACCATTACATCTTCGGTGTCGATTTCTAGTTTACAGAAATATCATATATTTAGGATGTTTCTCTCGGGTTTAAAGATGGGAGAATATTCTTGGTGGAGATACTATGGAGACCCTTGCTACTGCCCTCCTCATCCGGCAACCCAACTTCAAACGCCGCGCTGACATCGCCCGCTTCTTTGTGCCCGAGTAGGCAGTCTTACGTCTCAAAGGTGTTCAAAAGGGAGTCCACAGAGAAGAATAATCAGATGACTATACACGTACCTTAAATATATTGATACTCCTAATAGTCTCCTTCACAACGATAAGAAAATAAAGCACTTCCACCCCCGCTCACAGTCTCACGAAGACTAACCCTTGTTTACAAGCTAACGATTTAGAGCACCAACTTATCGTACATACAGAGAAATCCCTTACGTTCATATCTGAAATGTATACCATCACTGTAGCTCAACAGACACATACAGATTATAATCACTCACAATATTTGTTAAAATTCTTTGCCGAGGTTGCTAGTATTACTCATTCGACGTACGTCTGGCAGAGGGGCATATGACGGTGCCTGTAAGCCGCAGCTGTCTGTGTTATTTTTCACTTGTTTAAAGCTTTGGCTGCTCGCTCGTTCATAATATTATGGGATTGTCGTTTTGTTTTTGTAATATATCTTGACAACAAATAATCACACGCATGTTTTTACTATAATATAAAAATTTAAATTCTGCTGCTTCAACTTCCATAATGCTATTTATTAACATATACAGTGAAATAAGATGATTTTACTTTATTCATACTATACTTTACACACACACACATACACACAACACACACACACACACACACACACGCACACACACACACACACACACACACACACACACACACACACACACACACACACACACACACACACACACACACACACACACACACACACACACACACACACACACACACACACACACACACAAACACACACACATTTTTCTCAATGTTTGCGGACGATGCCAAAATTATGAGAAGGATTTAAAAAAAAAATTATATTTTGCCCCGAGGGGCGAGTTTATTGGGCAGCGCCACTCATCTTGTGAATGGACACACCGCCATAGCAGCATGTACAACACTCCCCAATAGGAAGAAAACCCGCTGGGTTGTTCATCCTGTCACTTTAAGACAGAAGAGGACTGTTTGAGGCTTCAAGAAGACCTAGACAAACTGCAGGAATGGTCGAACAAGTGGTTGTTAGAGTTTAACCCAACCAAATGTAATATAATGAAGATAGGTGTAGGGAGCAGGAGGCCAAATACATACACACACACACACACACACACACACACACACACACACACACACACACACACACACACACACACACACACACACACACACACACACACACACACTAATGTAGCACCAATATACAAAAAGGGTGACAGACAAGAGGCACTGAACTACAGGCCAGTGTCCTTAACTTGTATACCATGCAAGGTGATGGAGAAGATCGTGAGAAAAAACCTAGTAACACATCTGGAGAGAAGAGACTTCGTGACAACCCATCAACATGGGTTCAGGGAGGGTAAATCTTGCCTTACAGGATTGATAGAATTCTACGATCAGGTGACAAAGATTAAACAAGAAAGAGAAGGGTGGGCGGACTGCATTTTTTTGGACTGTCGGAAAGCCTTTGACAGAGTATCCCATAAAAGGTTGATGCATAAGCTAGAGAAACAGGCAGGAGTAACTGGTAGGGCGCTCCAGTGGATAAGGGAGTACCTAAACAATAGGAAGCAGAGAGTTACAGTGAGGGGTGAGACAGACTGGCGTGAAGTCACCAGTGGAGTCCCACAGGGCTCTGTACTTGGACCTATCCTGTTTCTGATATACGTAAATGATCTCCCAGAGGGTATAGACTCATTCCTCTCAATGTTTGCTGACGACGCCAACATTATGAGAAGGATTAAGACAGAGGAGGACAGCTTGAGGCTTCAAGAAGACCTGGACAAGCTGCAGGAATGGTCGAACAAATGGCTGTTAGAGTTTAATCCAAGCAAATGTAATGTAATGAAGATAGGGGTAGGAAGCAGGAGACCAGATACAAGGTATCACTTGGGAGATGAAATACTTCAAGAGTCCGAGAGAGAGAAAGACCTGGGGGTTGATATCACGCCAGACCTGTCCCCTGATGCTCATATCAAGAGGATAACAGCAGCAGCATATGCCAGGTTGGCTAACATAAGAACGGCCTTTAGAAACTTGTGTAAGGAATCTTTCAGAACATTATATACCACATATGTCAGACCAATCCTGGAGTATGCGGCATGTCTCGAATCTTATTACGATTCTGCCAATTCTCCCGAACCTCGTATTATGTTATTGTTTTCTCTAAGTAAATATTGCTGTCAGTTGTATAAGATTTGTGTATATAGATAGATATACATTATATATATATAACATAGATAGCTGAGTAGTGTGTGTAAGGTTGTTTTGGTGGTGGATGTCACGTGAAATTAGCCGTGTGGGCGGTTGACAATATTTGGGAACGGCCAGGGCGATTGTTGGCATATCAATTGCCTATAGTTTTATATTTATTTATTCCCATATTTGGTAGCCGTAATATTTCAGGGAATGTGAGACCAGTAATTACAACTCTTAGCTAATAATGTTGGAGTTTAGGGCTGACCTTTGTAAATAGAATGTTCACAATGTTCATGCGAACGTTAATTGGTGTTTGGGTAGACGGTTAGTCGACGTTGGGCCTGCGGACCACGTCTGGCGGCTGCGGTCGAGTGCAGTTGTGTTTAAGCTAAGTTCTTGGTTTTTGTTATTTTAAGCCCATATAAATATTAATTTATCTGGATAGACGATTTTAGTGTATTTATGGCTTACTCCATATTCTGGTGATAGTGCTCAGGTCTCAAATAATTACTTGCATTCTATAGTATTACATGCTGATAAATATTTCTGGCTACTATTTATTTAATTGTTGTTAAGTTGTCACCTTTAGCAAAATATATTGTTCTCCCGTTTTATACAGTGATTAATTATACCCCTAGACACCTATTGGCATGGCAGATTTTTATTTGTTCTTTACACTGTGGGGAGAAGAACATTATTTAGTCTCAAGGGTCGTGACACGGCACCAGCATGGAGTCCATATCTTGTCAAGCATAAGACTAAAATGGAAAAGGTTCAAAGGTTTGCCACCAGACTAGTACCCGAGCTGAGAGGTATGAGCTACGAGGAGAGACTACGGGAATTAAACCTCACTTCGTTGGAAGACAGAAGAGTTAGGGGGGACATGATCACCACATTCAAGATCCTCAAGGGAATTGACAGGGTTGATAAAGACAGGCTTTTTAACACAAGGGGCACACGCACTAGGGGACACAGGTGGAAACTGAGTGCCCAAATGAGCCACAGAGATATTAGAAAGAACTTTTTTAGTGTCAGAGTGGTTGACAAATGGAATGCATTAGGAAGTGATGTGGTGGAGGCTGACTCCATACACAGTTTCAAGTGTAGATATGATAGAGCCCAATAGGCTCAGGAACCTGTACACCTGTTGATTGACAGTTGAGAGGCGGGACCAAAGAGCCAGAGCTCAACCCCCGCAAGCACAACTAGGTGAGTACAACTAGGTGAGTACACACACATACACACTCTTCGAAGTTAAGGAGAAACTTCTTAACCCAGCACCTCAGATAACCCACAAGGATGAGAGGAAATGACGAACCAGCGAGACTCGACCTGGTCTTCACCCTGAACGACTCCGACATAAGAGAAATCGGTTTTGAGGCTCCAGGAGGAATGAGCGACCACAGTGTATTGGTGTTTGAGTACCTGATTGAAGAAGGATTATTGAACTTGAGGAGGGATACCGAAACCATAAGGTTAGCATACCGAAAGGGAAACTATGAGGAGATAAGAAAATTCCTAACAGATATAGCATGGGAAACAGAGCTCAGGGAAAAGACGGCCCAAAATATGATGGACTACATCACGCAAAAGTGCAAGGACGCAGCAAACAAGTTTGTCCCAGCCCAAAAAGAAAACAGTGAAATGAAGATGAGAAACCCATGGTTTAATCAGAGATGTAGGCTAGCTAAGCAGCAAAGTAAAAGGGCATGGAGAAACTATAGGAATAACAGGACATTGGAGAGCAGAGAAAGATACCAGAATGCCAGGAATGAATATGTCAGGATGAGAAGAGAGGCAGAAAGACAATACGAAAACGACATCGCAAGCAAGGCAAAGACTCAGCCTAAATTGCTGCATAGCCACATCAGGAGAAAAACAGTAAAGGAACAGGTTATGAAATTAAGGATAGGGGCAGAAGGATTCACTACAAACGACAAGGAAGTGTGTGAGGAACTGAATAAGAAATTCCAAGAGGTCTTCACCTTAGAGCAAGGAGAGGTCCCAGAGATAAGAGAGGGAATAGCTAACCAGAAACCACTGGAAGAGTTTGAGATTACCAGCGGGGAAGTAAGGAAGTGTTTACTAGAGTTGGATGTGACAAAGGCTATAGGCCCAGATGGAATCTCCCCTTGGATACTAAAGGAAGGAGCAGAAGAACTGTGCCTACCACTCTCTATAGTGTATAACAAATCTCTGGCAACAGGGGAACTGCCAGAAATTTGGAAAGCAGCTAACTTAGTCCCGATATACAAGAAAGGGGATAGACAGGAGGCACTGAATTACAGGCCAGTGTCCCTAACCTGCATACCATGCAAGCTGATGGAGAAGATTGTGCGAAGAAAGCTAGTGGAGCACCTGGAGCGAAAGAACTTTGTAACACAGCATCAACATGGATTCAGGGATGGCAGGTCGTGCCTCACAGGGTTACTTGAATTCTACGATCAGGCAACAAAAATAAGGCAAGAAAGAGAAGGGTGGGCAGACTGCATATTTTTGGATTGTCAGAAAGACTTTGATACAGTGCCACACAAGAGGCTAGTGAAAAAGCTGGAGATGCAGGCTGGAGTGAAAGGGAAGGTACACCGTTGGATACAGGAGTACCTAAGCAACAGGAGACAACGAGTCAGTGTGAGGGGTGAGGTCTCAGATTGGCCAGACGTTACGAGTGGAGTCCCGCAGGGGTCAGTCCTTGGACCTATACTGTTTCTGATATATGTAAATGATCTCCCAGAGGGTATAGAATCGTTTCTCTTAATGTTTGCCGATGATGCAAAAATTATGAGGAGGATTGAAACTGAGGACGATAGTAGGAGGCTACAAGATGACCTAGACAGACTGAGAGAATGGTCCAACAAATGGCTGTTGAAGTTCAACCCGAGTAAATGCAAAGTAATGAAACTAGGCAGTGGAAACAGGAGGCCAGACACAGGATACAGAATAGGAGATGAAGTACTTAATG